ATATCCTTGATACCAAAGCCAGGAATGGACACCACCAAAATAGAAAACTATAGGCCAATATCTCTCATGAAAATAGATGCAAAAAAATACTGGATAAAATACTGGCCAATAGAATCCAATGATACATCAAAGAAATAATTCACCATGACCAAGTGGGATTCATAACAGATATGCAAGGACAGTTCAACATAAGGAAAACAATTAGTGTAATTTATCACATTAACAAAGCAAAGAACAAGAGCCACATGATCCTATCAATTGAAGCCGAAAAAGCCAACACCCTTTCTTGATTAAAACACTCAACAAAATAGGATTAGAGGGGAATTTCTCCAACATAGTAAAAATTATTTACGCTAACTCAAGAGCCAACATTGTTCTCAATGGAGAGAGGCTAAAGGCATTCCCTTTAAGAAAAGGAACTAGGCAAGGATGCCCATTATCACCTCTCTTATTTAATCCTGTTTTGGAAGTCTTAGCAATAGCAATAAGAGACGGAATAAAAGGTATCCAAATTGGCAAAGAGGAGGTAAAATTATCTCTCTATGCAGGTATGATATGATGGTATACTTAGAAAACCCTAAAGACTCAGCAAGAAAACTACTGGACACAGTGGACCAATTCAGCACAGTAGCAGGATACAAGATAAACATACAAAAATCAGTTGAATTTCTCTACAGTGACAAAGAGAATACAGAGCCAGAACTAAGAAAAACAATACCCTTCACAATAGCTAATCACAAGATGAAACACTTGGGAGTAAATCTAACCAGAAGCACAAAGGATCTATTCAAACAAAATTACAAGACATTACTACAAGAAACAAAAAGAAACCTGGAGAAGTGAAAGAATAGCCCTTGCTCATAGAAGAGGCAGTTGTCAGAACAGAGCAGGGAGACACTGGATGGTTCAAAATTAAGAAAGGGGTCCATCAGGGATGTTTTCTGTCTCCATACCTTTTCAATCTATATGCAGAATTAGATCATCTGAGACGCTGGGCTGTACGAGGAGGAATGTGGCATCAGGATTGGTAAAGGAATCATCAACAACCTGCGTTATGCAGATGACACAGCCCTGCTTGCTGAAACTGAAGAGGACCGGAAGCGCTGCTGCAGAAGGTCCAGGACTGCAGTCTTCAATATGGACTGAAGCTCAATGTCAAGAAAACAAAGATTCTCACCACTGGGCCAATTGGCAGCATCAGTATGGATGGTGAAG